TGACGAGTCATTTGGTCAAAACGATTCGTTTTCGGTTGATGTGCTGAAAGGTTTTGCGTCGGTATTGTCATTCGGAAGCGGGAGGACATCAAACTGTATATCGTCCGATAGCTTCCAAGAAATAGGCATCGTTTGGGTTCGATGTTCACCGTTCAAAGACGACCGTCAGATGCAAAAAAACCTCGTACGGAACTGAATATGTCACTGAAACGAAGATGGTTCGAGTTGAGACGACTTCTGAGGAAAAGGTTCCGCATATCTTTCGGATTTTGAATCTTTTTTTGGCATTTTTGTGGAATTTTTATATTTGATCATTTGGCTAAAAACTGAAGAATCAGTGGATGCGAAGAGTGTTTTGTTTGGTGTTTAAATTTTTTTCTTCTTGAATTTGTTCTTCTGAAATTTATTCTCATAACTCATTTCAAAAGGGAAAAGTTTGGCTAGATTTCCACAGAATGTGAATGCTGAATTGGTAAAAAAACAAAGAATATGAAAATTCTGAATGAAATTTATTCAGTGGGCGCAAATATTTTGAGTTCTGAGTGCTGTATTCAGTGTTTTCGACCATTGCCATTCAGTGCCTTCATATTTATATCAGTTTAGGTCGGTCACGTTCACCGTGTTTGCAGTTTGTCTGTTCATATTCGTGTTCAGTATGGCCTATGTTCATGACTCACCACAGGTTCATCATTCTTCAAGTGTTCTCTTATCGTTTTCTTCGTTTCATATGAATTTTTATTTGAGTGTTCCCTACCAATGAAGAAAAGAACAGTTCATTCGTTTGAATGTATCTTACACTGAATTTTCAAGGTTCTTATTGAATGAGTCCCATTTAAATTCATTGATAAACAATGAAGTTATTGTTGTTGTAATAATGTTGTCATTATATGTAGCTGATGATGACAAGATCAGTTGATCAATTGAGTTTCATGTGAATGTTCACTTTGTGTGATATTGCAGGAACGACGTGCCGAACATGCGGAACATGGACGAAATATGCATGAACATGTCTTCGGGCGAGGGTATCATTTAGAATTTATTTGCTTTTGCTCCCGCTCCCGCTCCTTTTTCGTTGTTATTCTCCTAGGATCGTTTTCGTTTCCAGTGGTTTTTGCTTGCCAGACAATATATTTAGTTTCGAAATGAAACTGAAAATAACGATAAATTTGGTCAGAATTTTTGGGAAAAAATATGAAATGATCATATGGATATGTTATAAATATATTTTCGGTGACGAGCAAAGAGGATTTATGATAGATTAGTTGCAGTTTGTTAGAGTTTTGAAATGTTGTAGTGATCGAGTTGAAGTTGAAAAAGAACGCCTGGTCGGTAACGTGAACTACGACGAAGACGATGTGTTACCTGGTGACTCAGATCCTGAAACAGTTTTCAAAGAAGGCGTTTTGGGCAATTTCGAGCCGAAAGAGGCACAACCTAGACCCGGACAACATGGTTTGTTGCTAATGGTTTCGCCTAGGATTCTGGAAGTTATGCGATAGTTTGATAGGTTCATCTGATACGAAAAATTTTGTCGAAATTTTAAATGATTTCGACTTAACTCTTTGAAATTCAACTGAACATTAGAACCAAAATTCATCAGCAAAAGATGGAAATTTAGGTTGGACAATATAAAATTATGGATGATAATTAAGGTGAGATGGGTGCACCAGTTTATGTGGACATGAATAAACCGGAAGTGAGAGGTGCGGTAAGTGAATTCGGTTTCAATACAATTGTCTCGGATATGATCTCAATGAATCGAAGTGTACCGGATGTTCGGATGGACGAGTGTGTTTTTGATTTGTTAATTTTAATCGGTTAAATCGAAAATCTTTT